CCTTTCCATTAGCTGCTCTGTGGGAATGGCACATACCAGCAGCGCAGTGATTGCAGGGACTAGATGACATGAGGTCCCATATTTGCTAAGGCTGTGAATGGCAGCTTCATCTAGAGTTTCTCTGTTTTTTGTTAGTAGTGTTGCTAAAGTTGGATCAACTTTAAGTCTAGAGAAACAAATCCTTCCTGTTTGGGAATTACTTGAATTTTGAAAGAGAGGGAGACACAGATAAACTGTAAAAGTGGGGCAGATGCAGTCCAGCTATAACTGGGAAGTTGGGGGAGGGAAAGGACTGAACACTCTCCAAAAGTATAATGAGGATAAGACTCCCTATGAGTCATGTGGGGAGGCTGGCTCATGACAGAGGGGTGCAGATGGGTAAAGACCCATAATATATAATGTGGCATAAGCATCACAGCTTCTCTGTCTTCTCTGCCCTTTGAAAAAATCTTTAACCACACCTCTCCAGCTTTCTCTGCTCACTTTTCAAAGCTGATTTTTAGAAGCTGCAGGAATATGACAGCCTGAAAACACTTAAACACCTTCTGAAGCAAACTTTAAACCATTTAAAGTGTGTCTCAGAGGTGCAAAGATGTATAAAGCAAGCAAGTAAGTTGCACAGTTCACCCGGGGCTGTAGTCCCCTAGCCCATCTTTGAGCTACTCTAGTCTCCATCTGCTGCTTTACCCTCCTTTGACCCCATTCAGCCAGACACTCATGCCCTTGCTTGGTGTTTCTGTTATTCTTCGCGCTTGGCTGCAACTACAGTAACTCTTCAGTTAGCACTAAAGGGGTAGGTGTCCGAGTTATTGTTTTACAAACTGTTATTTTATTATTGCAAGAAAAATACCTTCCAAGGTATCTGTCATTCATATCTTTCTAGGACATACATGGTTAAAATATACAGAGAGCCTGACAGCATATGTTCTCTACAAAACAGTCACTCTTCATTCCGCTTAGCCAAAGCCACTCTCAAACATTAGTGTAGGACATGTAGAAGGAAGAAGACAGGGTGAAGACATTTAGAAGAAAGGGAGCATGGGTGTTTCCCATGGAGGGCTAAGAAAGGAGAACTCTTCAGATTAGCACTGAAGAAGTACTGTCTAGTCCTCAGAAGAGCTCAGCAGAAAGCCTGTAGGAAACCAAGACTACTCACCACGAGAGAGCTGTGTATGCTCCCTGATGCTACAGGAGTTCACAAAGGCACCACCGGTCACACATTTATTCAGAAAATGACCTTCACTGTCCAGCAAAATCTTCTTGAGGGTGGTTGGTATGAGATTTGTAGAGAAGGACTCAAACTGAAACCAGAATTGCAGAGATCAGATTTAGGAACTGATTTAAATCTCTCGAGTTGATTTCCTTTTCTGAATTTGAAATAGCATTTACTAATGTTATTAAGAAGATGCACTTGCTGCAAAGGATGTTGAATCAGAACTCCTCTAAACACAGTTCTCTTTTCAATTTAAATCTTTCTAACAGTCTTTCAACAGGCAATTTTGTCATTTATAATGTGCATATTTATTGCTTTATTTAACATTAATGTATTAGGTAATTACAAAAATTAAATTTCCATGTACATAAGGGCGTGTGTGTGTTCTAACATTGTTTATATACTACATATGGGAACATGTTTATGCATGTGCACACAAACATACTTATGTTCTGAATATTAAATATATAAGCTTTGAATTTTTTAGCTTACTATTTTTCCACTTTATCCACATTATTGTATTTCTTTTCACTATGAAAGCAATATGTGAGTACTCAAAAGTAAGACTAAACTACAATCTTCAATAAAAATACATTATTTGAATTACACAAGCAAACGACAATGGATAAAGAAAGAACTCAGGAAAAAGATTTCTATAAGGAAAAAGATTCTCAGTACTTGGTGGCAGCCAATAAGTATTTTTTAAGCATTGCCCACCAATGTAATTACACTCCTACTTACTTGTTCAGTTCAATAAATTCATCACACACAGATACACTGTAGATTAGCTATTTTATTTTAGTACTTACCAGATTTGAAAACTGTCTGAAGATCAGGTGAAAGAAGATGTGTGATTCTGTTACATTCTTTTGTGGCTACCTCAAGCACATTTACCATCAACCTCAACAGGAGTACACTTTAATTCGAAAAACAAGAAATAACAGCATTAGTTAAAGGTACAGAGTTAAATTGAAATAATCACCACTTCCTCCTGACAAGCAATAACAACAACCTGCTTTTTTACGTAAAGGAAAATATTTAACCTTATCTGTGCTGGAAACTTACAAGCTGGAGGCAAGTCTCTTACAAATTAGGCTAGCTACGTAATGACACTAGTTTTTAAAAAATCAAGCTAGCATTAGAATCATAAAAAGTACAATGTTAATTGTCGCTGTGCTCAGAACACTCTGAATGACGGCCTATTTTTGCAAAGGGTGCACTTAATGTCATGGAGATGAGCAGTTTAATCATTAATCATTTAAACAAGATCACTTAACAGTAGAACTGCAAAACTGAGAAATGTGTTAATTACCAAATTGAGTAAGAGCTCTTTTCTGAAGAAAAACATTTGCTGTTTGTGTGCATGCTCTTCAGGTCTGTTGTCAAAGTTAGTTGGAACGAGACATGAAAATATTGCATTTTATGATTCCTGAATTTTAAAAGCTATAAACATTTTTCTTCCAGACTTTGGTTTCTTATGACAACCTAGCTGTTTGCATTAGCAGGAAAACCAAAAACTAGTAGAAAACTCCTTCAAACGTCTTATTTCTTTTAGAAATGGTGCGTGTGAACATTCAGTTGCAGCTTGTGATCTCATTAGAGACACCAGATGGCATTAATACAGGCAGCCTTGTAGGATATTATCAAATTAATAGAATGCTGGGCCTAAAGAAATGCAGGATGATAGATGTCATGCTTGTCTTTTTTTCAAAACCGAGCGTA